TTGACCAACCCAGAACAAAAGAGACGACCTCAGGGGATGGTCAAGCTTCCATGGTTTGGTGGGTGAGCGTTTGACTCACATGTCAGCGTTTACAGAGCTTTCGGAGTTCGGTGACCACAGAGATCGTTCTCGCCATCTGTGTGCCACGAAACATGAAGGGCGCCGCGGCGGCACCTTGGAAACATCAGAAGACATATTTATCCCTTTCAAACTCATTTTACACTCGTCACCCTCTGTAAAAGACCTTATAAAATCAATAGGCGGGTCATGAACTTTTTCCGCTGAGGTCGGTGAGGTCTGTACCAGCACCGACTTCACAGGTCACCAATTGAAACCTAGGGCCTAACATGACAACCCTCCATTTCGGTGACCTGTTGGAAGGTGCTGGTACATGTCATGTAGATCAATTCACTTCAACGCCGCCAGGTGCACCTCCGTCACCTGACCTGAATCCACTCCACGCCGCCCCCGCACACACGATCGCCGCCGTGCTGCTCGTGAAGCTCGCTCATGGCGTCGCACACGTCATCAGAGAACAAGTCCTCCGGGAGGTGTGCGCAAACGTGTGCTGCAAAACGCCCAAAGCAGGTGTGAAACGCTGCCTCTCATCCAGGTGGAAAGGCTGCAAGCGCAGGGTAACTTGGGGTGCAACTTGGGGTGTAAATATGGGGTGATCGCACTCCGAATCGAAGTGGAGTGATTTCACCACCGGACCCGTTTGGACCGCCGCAGACCGGACCCCGCTGCCCAACAGCGAGGGGTCGTCCCACCGCGTACCACCTTCCAACGGCAAACTCGGTGGTGTTTGGACGTATAGCTATTTATAGACACCCTATATCACCCTATGACACCCTCAGCAGAGGGTCCACATCATACTTGGTTAGGTTTATAGTTACAGCTTGTTTAACCACTATATAAGTTCCCTTGAACACAGCTCGAGTGTCTTGATGGAAGACATCACACATCCATGGGGCCGTTTTCTACGGTGAGCAGTCCCGCCGCGTGGAAAGCCATTGGCCCAACTTGATGAAGACAGGGCCACCTGAGCGCTTCAGAAGACCCTGGGCCTTCTTCCGCCTTTGAACCTCTGGGTGTGCCAGGAGACCCCATGCCGGAGAGTTCCCCAACATCCTCGGCCCCTGGCTGGGTCGACGGATCTATTATCCCCTCTTCCATACACCAGAGGGAAGTCTTTGGTTCGGTGTCCCTATTTGAGCCACACCCCTCTGGTGCTTTTTCGTCTTCGTCCAGGCCCCTCGAATGAGAGGATCAATTTGCGGACTCGATGGGCGTTGAATCGCCTTCAAGGTCTCGAACGATGAGAGTTGAAGTATCGAAGAACTGGGGTTTTCTCCCTCAAACGGACAGGGCGAAGTGCTGTGCTGTGCTGTGCTGTGGAAGGCCCCAAACGGTGGGAAGATTATCACCTCCAAACCTGACAGACATAGATCCGTGGGGGTCACAACAATCTGTGTGCTGAACATGAGGACCTGGCTAGCCTGGCGATGATTCAAAATGTTGATACACATGTTGACACAGAACTATACAGCTATAATAAATACAGCTGTATAAATATTAATAGCTGATATCATAGCAGCTATAGCTGATGACGATATTGGCTTTCCAAGGCTCAAGTTCCAATCACATACCAAGCGGCAATCTGGAAATCACATGCCACTAGACCTTCTCATGGCAGCCTGAAATCGTCCTGCGCAACCCTCTGGTTTGTTCAACTTCTCAGATCTCCCGTCCCAGTGGCTCCTTTGCAATGAGAAGACCACGGTTGAGGGGCTCCTCGGCGGCAATCAGGGTGGGCCAATGTGGACCCGGACCCGTTGGGTGGGCCAATCGAAGGAAAAGACGAGGCACCTACGTCCGCGCAGAGACCGAACGAAGCCCGACAGTAGCTTCCTTCACCTACGTCGAGAAGGTGTACTACATGACATGGAGCCAGGCACTGTACTATCCGTTCTTCGCACGCGGAGCTGCGCGAGCTGCTTGAGCCCTTATTCATGGGTTGGGTTCCCTCCCTACAGTTCCCCGGTGGTAGATCGGGATCGCGCTCTCCCGAGACAGGCAGGAGACAGGCAGCTTGCTCTTTCGTCGTTGTTTGTTGCGACATGTTCAACCCTCCAACCCACACGTGACGTTCTTCGGTGACCAGCGCCGTGATGATCGTGATTTTTGAGACCTATTTTGAAAGTCAAATGCGAAGATCCCATGAGCTACCAGGTCTTATGTCTTAGAGCCTTCCGCCCCAAATGGTATTCAATCATTCACCTCTCTTCTTACCACCAGAAGGTGGAGGATTCCCTCTAGCCGACCCATTCTATATGTATCTCTGGGTCATTTAGAGGCTGAGGTACTTCAGATCCCCAACCCAATGGATCTGTTCCCCACTCCGCCGCTCGGCTCCTGAAGACGATCGCTGGCAACCAAACCAGCGACAAGTAACCTCGGCTGTGGCCACTCGGTGGTGCCCCACCCGTGGCGTCGGGTGAGGATCCGGAAGAGGTGAGGCTGACGAGACGTTCCCAACGGTTCGAGCCGACCTCTCATGAAATATGGAAAACACTCCCAGAACCGAAAGGAGAGGCTCGCTACCTCACGGGCAAGAAGAGGCGAATGAGAGCTACCTCATTTTTTTTTTTTGAAACTATATATAGCGAAAGAAGGTAGCTACTAACACATGTTTCTACATGTGAACACTTTGTAAGTGGGTCACGTGTCTCTACCGAAAGCTACCGCGAAAGAGACGATTGAATCATCGGCTCAATCTGAACTGCTGCCTCTGAGGGAACAATCAACTGGTTCTTTGGATGCACCATTCTGCCCTGGCCACCCCTACCCCCATCCAAATGAATTGGCGAAAGAGGGCCTGACTTCAGTGATGCTCAATGAATGTTGCAGGGTTTTCCATCACTCCACAGCCACTTTCATAGCGCTCCAACTTCTCATCTTCAAAAACGCTCCAAAGAAGAGACAGCCCACGTCCCCTAGGCTGGTGCTCCACACCTTGCGAAGGAAGGAGTAACGCGTGTTTCTGCTTTTTCTGGCCGGTTGAAGGCGTTGGCTCACCCCCATCGTTTGCTCCAAGGAGCAAGCACGGCACGAGGCCGGAAGGATGCAGCGAAGAATCCTCGGACCAACGAGAAGACAAAAAACTTCGCCGACGCCACCCCGGTCCAGCTGAAAAGTGTGAGGACCGTGGTCCACGGCGCTTAGCGGTTGGAAGGGACCTGGATCATGTGCTTGCTCGAAGTAGAGGAAACAGTGGGTATAGGCTTAAGGTGAGTACAGTCCTGTCCTAGTCCTTAATCCTATCCTAGTATACAGTATACCATTGTGGGTCGCTGGTCCTTCCAAACCTCCACTCTTTTAATCATGCCATGCCTCACCTTCTAATCGGAGGTGAAGCAGAATTCATGCCGAGGAGACGTGAGTCAGTGGAGTCATGCAACAAGTGACGTGGAATGGTATAGGACACGACAATTCGAAGGTGTCTCTTCCTTTACTTCTACCTTTTGAATGTGAGGCACCTGGCTCACCCACAAGCACTGCCGCGAACTGACCTGCCCACTTCAAAAACAACACTCAACAGAGACGGAAGGCCTAGAACAGCTCGGGTCTGCCGTTTCTACGTCGCTTTTGGGACATTACATGCTCCCCTTCTCGAGGCTTTTCCTCTTTCAGCTGGGCGATGTGTTCCTTCGGTTGAAGACGTTGAAACCGCGTTAGACGGAACGGAGGGTGATCCGAATCACGCGGTTAACGGACCTCGTGCGAGACCGTGCTTGAATTCATCCAAGATTCACAAAGAGTAGCAAGCCCAAGAACCACACGCGGCGGTCTTTCCATCTCAGACGGGCCAGAACCAGGATCGGCAGCAGCAGCACCAGCACTTCTTTCATGGCGCGTGTGAAAGCACAGCCCAGGCGCCAGTCTTCAAAGCAGGGGGAGATGAGTGGTTGATTGCCCACAGGCTCGGATCATCTAGCGTTGCTTGGATGATTGCTTTCTTGCTTCACTTGTCTTCGCCCAAAAAGAGTCGACCAAACCTTGACATCCAAAAAAGAGCCTCTGCCAGGCAAGCTGTTCATCTTTTCTATGCCATGCCTTTTGTCTCTCTAAGAAAGCCAAAGCCACCTTTCGCGGGCTCCCGCTGGCTTCGGAGTCAACCTTGGGCTGGGAGTGCTGAACCTTACGGAGTTGATCGCATCCCTTGCGTCTGATCATCTTCTTTGAGCCCCATCAGCTTCGTGCCATGTATGTCGATCATGTCGATCATGCTCAGCTGGGACACCCTGTTGGCTACTTACAGTAAAGCTTTCCTCTCCCCCCCAAAGCCAGTCACTTGGGTAAAAACATTCCACTTTTTTGCAAGCCCACTCAATGTGGTCGGGTTGGGTGGGGTATTGAAACAGTTTCAAAATCACCCAGTCAATTGCTTGGCACAACATCTTAGATTCAAAAGCAACAACTTTTGTTGTGCAAGTAGCGAGGAGGGGCCCTTCTTTGGAAGAAAGGTGGCCCGAGACATTTGCTCTTCTTTTGCTCTTCTGGGATTGTGCCCCTACACTATCCGAAGCAGGCTTTGGAGACCCTGTGTCCTTTTGGCGTTTTGGAGCTCACTTCCGTTCAGCAGAGTGTTCAAGACACAATATGCTGAAAGAACCTGGTACAAGGGGATATGATGCCTGTACAAAAAACAGATCATAGGTTGACACCTAAAGGTGATCTGTTGGGTGTAACTCTTGGTCATCAAAAATATCCTTTGGACAAATGTCTGTCAGGTGCGCTTTCATAATCTCCAGTCTGGTGCTCGGCTTCAAAAGCTCAAACACCTTTTCCGGTGGTGGAGGATGAACCCTTCGACCAATCTCTGGAAATGGGCCCATGGTTACTGGTTACCAACTTCTTTCAACAAGTTGCCCCACATATGCTGGTCAACGACATGGTCCTTCTGTTCTTCGCCCGCGCTGCATGCCGCCCAATCCCACTCCGGCCTCCACGACCTTCTCCACCACCACCGCTGCGTTGCCCACCCACAAGGTGCCTGGGCCGTTCGCGCGCGACGCGTGTGGCACGCACCACACGGTTGGTGACCACGGGGCACGACCTTGATGGTGAGATCAATCTAACAAATGGCAGTGGGTCATGGATGGTCATGGCACAGAAATATCCAGGTTTTTTCCCACCAAGAGAATAGAAACTAGAATAGAGCTATATACAGTACCACAAGTGTTCCAACCGGCCAGGATTTGGAGTGGTTTTCACCGTCCAATCCCCGGTCGAATCCGCTCAGCGGCGCAGGTGCTCCCGCACATGAACTTCACAATTCCACTTTGGGCCGTGTCCTTCTCCCATTGCACCGACGAATCACCGGTGGCGCCTTGAGCAGCCTTCTCGGAACAGCCTGCACCCAGTCACGTCCGGTCCGTTCACCGTCGGTCACTGGGCAGCCGAGGCCCAAGTAGTTCAGGAGCGAATCCTCGCGGACGCGCCCGAGGTGTCGACCGGAGCCGGAGACAAAAGCGCCGGGGATCCGCGCGAGACGTCGCGTTTTGGGACGGCGTTGCCGTGGCGTTTGGTTCTTCTCGGAGAGGAGGGAGTCCACGGGGTGGACTTCGGTGGACTTCGGTGGACCCTCAAGTCGAAGGGGATCTTCTTCTTCGTGGTAGTAGTGGCATCATCTGGAAGTTCTGGAGATGTTCTTCCACATGAAACCATCTGCAACACTTCACAAGCTTAATCTGTCTTGAGATGATTTGACCAAGTTCCTCCACCTCAAACAGCCTTTGGCTTCTGTGACACTTCGAAGAGCTTCGCCAGCTCCCCGACGGACGGAGCCCGCGGACGGAGCCCGAACGACACAGGCCGAAAGGGAAGCAGGCTCGAAATGCGGCAAAACACATGTTTGTGGAATGACATCGAAATAAAGACCTGAGTGCGGAACCCATGAACTGTCTATTCTTCTTTTCGTGCTTTATGACATCAGTTGAGACCTCTTCGAAAACCCCCGGAAGTGTCGATCTCCCCATCCCCCTTCGAAATGAAACGAGGGGACACATTGGATGAACACACTGTGATTTCCGGATCAGAACTCATGGGTCCCTGAGTCCGAACTCAAAACGAGTTCGGATCCCAAAAGATTCCTGCTGAGAGTGGTGCCTTCTCCCAAAAAGACGGTCCTACCTACACCACTCTCGACCAACTCAATCCGCCCTCCAAAAGCGACCGAACAAACGACCGGTCAGTGGCCAGGGCTCTAAGACTCCGTGACCAATGTACCGGGCGCCCTTCTCGGCCGCTGCCTGGAGCGCACGTGGGCGGGCGGGTCATGCCTTGAAGCCTCGAAGAGAGAAACAACATCAAGGCGGATTCGTAGGTGAAAGATGGTGAAAGTTCCAAGTTGAAGCATCTATTGTCTCTGCAGTGGTTCTTGATATATCCTTCAACATGCTTAGACTAGAGGGAACCTCAGACTCAATGAAAGCATCTTCCTTGAGTAAAGATCCCCAGATCAGTGCCAAAAAGCCCGCTCAGACCTATCCTGCCAGAGCCCGACACTCACTGGCACAAAAAGAGGACCCCCCGGACTTGAAAGGCCAGGACCTACACCCTGGGAGTCAAAGACTATGAAGAATGGTCTTTAGGTGGCCCGAAAAGGAATATCCTTTACTTAAGTTGGTCAACATATCGTCTTTGGACTTCTGGGGTATAGGCATAGGTTTTAATGCTGGAACACTCTCCTTAGCCCAGACCCACTTGAGTCGTTGCAGGACACCGACCCGCTGACGAAAGAGCCAGCCATGGTAGGTCGCTCAGTCTCCTGCTGAAACGACTTGGACCTTTGATTATATGTCTGCATGGGCTTGTGACCTCGGGTTGATCCTGATGCATGTGCTTGGCTCTTCAGAAGATGTCGAACATCTTTGTCGATCCCTTGTCGAAGAAAAAGGCTGACCCTGAAGGGAAGGCCCCAAGACTTATATAGTTCGATTCTGCGCAGATTCCCATTCGCGGTTCCACATGCGTGGTTACACACCAAACTATACCCATTCGCATCCCATTCGCTTTGGATCCTTTATGCTGAAGCCAAACACATCGAGACTCGCCCACCACCAACCTCCCCCACCAACCGCGAGCGGCCCCGCCGAGCTCCCCGGCTCCAGCGGCACCCAGCTTGAGCTTGCTCCACATCGCCGAAGCCTGACCAAAAGCATGCTCGCGTGGCCCAGCAGGGCAAAGACCGGCCCAGCAGGGCTCATGGTGCTTGTGGCTCGACACCACGCGCGTGGACGGAATGGATCCACTGGAGAAATGTCAGCAAAACGAAAGCACATCACCAAGCAAATCACTCCAAACTTGGTTTGATAATCTTGAAGGGTTTCCAGTAAAACAAGTGTGAGTTTATTGTTTGTGGAATCTTTCAGGTTTGAATCGCTCACCACGCCTTGCCAACAACAACCTTGAATGATCGTTCCATTCGCTTCCTCCTGTGGATGACGTATTCAATCAAGGCCTGATCCAACAACCGATGTGCCCCATGTTTGTGCCGAAAGAAATCGAACCTGCTGACCAGGCTGGGGACATCGAGCCAAAGCACCGCTCCATATCGCCCCGGGGCTCCTCGCCTGCGCCTGCGCTCGCTCTGAGGTCTCGGGGAAGACCAGGAGCCATCGGCCGCCGGACGCGTCCAGGAGCACGTCCCGAAAGTCCTGCACGGGCCGAAACGCCGCGACGGAGGGAGGGTGGAGAGAGGCTTGACACATTTTTGTCGAAAGTGTGCAGCCAAGTGGCTGCTGGACTTAATGGTCCAGGGAGTGGAGGTAATATGATTGGCCAATCCCCCAATAAGCCCTCAAAATCTCCAAACGCCCAAACGTCACCACCTCGGCGTGACAATGTGTCTACACGTTAGCATGACCCGTGTCAGCATGCTACCATGAATGCATGTCAGCATGACTTGCCTGACGACATGTCACTTGCTCATGACGGGAAACCAGTACACCGCTGGTGTGTGATACTGACTCTAGCCACAATGGCGAAATAAAACCATAAACAACTGGAACAAGAAGCTACTAGAAGCTCCTGGCATTACTACTAGTAACAAGAAGCTGCTAGTAACAACGGGCATCGCTACTAGTAGCAACTAAACTACTAGAATGCACTGATCCCAAAAACGTTCCGAAAAACGCGGGGCGCTTGAAAAAACGTGTTATCGGGCTCAAACTCCTCATAGGTGCTGAAGAAGAGCCCAGCTGCTGTGGCACCCAGCCTGGGATGAGTTCTCATACATGGTCACCTTTCGTTCAGTGTAGCTCAATTAGGAAGACCGCCACAGGTGCAAAGGCCACAAAAATCGCTTCAACTTGAGAGCTCTGTGGAGCTTTGCTCTGTGGAGCTTCTGTGAAGGAATCGATGTTGTTGCACATCTTGTGTGTGCGGCAAGGGTCAATGAATGCCATGATTCCATGTTGCCAATGAGGCTGCCAAACAGGTCAAGCAGTGATGGTAAATCCAGGCATCAACTCGACTCACTTGGATTGCAGTCGTGAATTTGGCCCTCTTATTCGGCATTGAGCAGCGCTCTTATTCAGCAATGACTCGACCGGCGCGCGCATCTCACTTGTGCTGTTCTGCCGAAAGGGCTGTGCCAAAATCAGCAAAAAGGAGCAGCGCGTGGCTGCAGGGCGAGGAGAACTTCCTCAGCCATCACATCTCCACAACCTCCATGGTCCTCTGGCACAGTCTCTGGCACTCTGGCATTCGAGGGCGACAGGTGCGATGTCTTCGGCCTTTGAGAAGCTCGCAGGCTATGGGGACAGCAAGGAAGCCTGATGGAACATCGCATCGGCTTCAGCACCACCTGCAAAACCAGCTTGTACTCAGCTGCAGTTCCGCTCCTTGAGTGGAGTCCTCACAAAGGAGAAACCGGAGAAGGATGCCTTCACAACGGAGCTTCAGGGCTCTCCGGCGCAACCATCCAGGTGAACTACAACAAGGAAACACAGCCGCATATGGATGGGAACAAGGCGCGCACAGGCGCTGGGCGAAGTGCGAACATCGCCACGGCCGCAAACGCGGGGCAAACAAGATCTCAGCGGATCTACTAAAAGCCCTGTCGAACAAGGGGCAAGAGCTCGAGAGCGCAGAGGAGGCTGTGAACGACAAACAGGAGGCATCCTTGCTTGTTACTACTAGTAAGGCACTTGTTACTACTAGCGTGGCACTTGTTACTAATAGCTTCTTGTCACTACTAGTAAGGCACTTGTTACTACTAGCGTGGCACTTGTTACTAATAGCTTCTTGTCACTACTAGTAAGGCACTTGTTACTACTAGCGTGGCACTCGTTACTAATAGCTTCTTGTCACTACTAGTAAGGCACTTGTTACTACTAGCGTGGCACTTGTTTCTAATAGCTTCTTGTCACTACTAGTAAGGCACCTGACGGACCTTTTGCTGTAAACCTTCCGATGGATGTTTGATGAAAAGGTCGCTCAGCCTCCATACGTGTCAGGGCCATACGTACTGCCATACGTCTCACGGCCGATTCACCCATAGGTGGTGTTCTTTAAGTTCACCATAGTTCACCTAGTAGACTTTACTTTTATTACTACTCCTCATCCTTTCATGGCCCTGTGATTTTGAACGTCGAACATTGTTTTTTTGTTTTTCGAGTTCAAACAAACATGTTTTTTGAAAAGTGGCCGAAAAAGTTTGAGAAGTGGACGAAAAAGCATCGTTTGAATCATTGATGAACGAAACCGATAAGGAACCATTCCATCAAGGTCGCTCAGCCTCCACTGTGAAACCAATGAAAACGATGACAATGTTGTGAAACCGATTCCAACCCCCCCCACCCCACCCCTCCCCCCTAATTTAATCACATGGTCATGTCATTCAACGAATGACAATGCTGTGAACCGATGACAATGTGTTGTGAAATGGATGACAATGTTGTGAAATGATATGAAACTGATGACCCCAACCCTCCCCCCCACCCCAATTAATCACATGGATTCACATGGTCATTCAGAGACAATGTTGTGAAACGATGACAATGTTGTGAAACCAATGATAATGTTGTTGTGGAACCGATGACAATTTTGTCAGACCCATGAGTATGATATCGGTGATGATGTTGTGAACCCATGAAATAGTATTGTGCAACAATTGTCAATGAAGAGATGAAAAACGATGAATTCCAAGGGCCGTGAAAGGCGCAACTAGTTTACATTCTACTTCTAGTAACAGTACTACTACTACTACTACTACTACTACTACTACTACTACTTACTAACTACTAACTACTAACTGCTAACTACTAACTACTAACTACTAACTACTACCTACTACCTACTACCTACTACCTACTAGACCCTACTGCTACTACTACTACTCCTACTGCTACTGCTACTACTACTCCTACTGCTACTGCTACTACTACTGCTACTGCTATTGCTACTGCCACTGCCACTGCTACTCCTACTGCTACTACTCCTGCTACTGCTATTGCTACTGCTACAGCTACTAAACTTACTACTACTGCTGCTGCTACTGCTACTACTACTATTATTACTAGTAGTACTGTTCCTACTAAGTACTACTACTACTGCTACTGCTACTGCTACGACTACGACTGCTACTACTACTACTACTACTACTACTACTAGTACTACTACTAGAAGACAAACGAGAAGATTCTCAGAGAGGACCTTTCGCTCCTGTCCTGCCCACTTGCCACTATAAATAAAGGTCCCCCTTAATTTCAATTTCGGTTCCCTTTTCAAAACATGGACCAACTGACTTGAAGACCAAAACTTCAACCCTGCAGAAGCATGTGGATTGGTACAAGCAAGTCTGTGACTGAGCTCCCACTCCTTTTAGAACCATTGATTCCTTTCTGAGTTCCCACTGCGGGGCTGATCCCCCACGCCGACGGGGGATCAGGCTGGATCCTTTGCCGACTTCGATTCAATGAGGAGCGTGTGGGGTTGGGTGCTGATTGGACATTCATTTTTTGCGTGTTGGAAACTTGTTGGAAATATTTGAAAAAATTGGGGGGAACTTTCCAGTCTTCTCACGTGACACTGATACAGTTAGGCTGTACTTGTTATCTTGTTAGCAAGCAAAAGACATGACCCAGCTGAAGCTTCGGCCATCAAAACCTCGGGAAACGCCTCGGGAAGGCACGGGACTGGCCACATTGAAACCAGTGGTGTGTAGCTCTGTCATTTTTCTAGCATCCGTTCACTCCTGGCTGAAATGATCTCAGGATATGAAGAATTCATACATTTTTTTGGCCACCGACATCCGATTGGTCATGTTCGCGATCGCTTTACGTGCCATCACTCTCTTCCAGATCGAGTTGAGGGCTGACACATCAGGGCTTCTGTTGCTGTAGCTGGTTTTGACTCTCTAAGGTATGGACGGAAGGTAATCATCAGTGGCCTTTGAGATCTTAGCTGGTTTCCAGAAGCGAGTTTCTCTAGGTATTTTCATGCTGTGTAGGACTGGAAAGGGTTAGTTCCAAGAGCACCTGCGAGCTTTGTTTTTGCTCATGAGGTTGCACGTATGTCAATCAGCATTTGCATGCACTTGGATGCTCGACGTGAATCTTTGCTTGAGAGACCAATTCTTTGAGCCAGGTGGTGATGTTGATCCTTCACAATCCTGAAACGAAGGAGACTCTTGTGCAGACTGCTCAGGCTCGTTTGCGAGCAGCGAGTGGTCCCCGAGTGGTCAGACCAGACCGCCGATATTTCCTTTCCAGGTGTAGGACATGTTTCTTTGTGATGGCTCAACGATGGTCTAAATTCAGGCCTTTTCATTGTTGTTGCAATGCCACCAATCGTTTGACAATGCTGTGCACACATGATGCTACAGGCTGTATCACTATGGCAAGCGCTTGCAAAAAGAACATTGCACAATCAAAGTAATACATTTGTTCAACCAGCTTTGAGTAGAAATGCATATATATATATATATAAGGCAAGAAAGCCACACATCAGTTCCGAACTTTTCAGCCTCACCTGCAGATGTGGCCTGATGGCAAGACCAGCTACCAGCCGCGTTGAATGGAAGACTCTATGGGAGCTCCATGCTGTTTCAGGGTTGGCTCGAGGTCGCACGCAGGCACCAGGTGCAAAACGACGCCGGGAGACCGAGAGCGAGAGCTGTGCAGCAACTTTCGTTGGGTACAGGATTCCACTGGGTACAGGTGCAAAGCATTCTGAACCCGCGGGTTTTCGGATTCAGAAATCCTATTCCATGCTCCTGGAATCTTTGAACTGTAGAATCTGGTACCCGAGGTTGAGGACTGGACTTTGATTGTTTCCTAATCAGGTTCCGTGGTCATTGTGACCTGTGGTGATTTGGTCATTGTGGTGCTTGATAGGGATCTTTATGTAGAAGCAAGAAGCTTGCAGAGCACCATCGACCCTTCTAGATCGATGCAGAATCCAAGCAGCTTCGCTCTCGAAGGTCTACCGGAAGCGTGTCATCAAGGGGAGGTGATTCCCAGTGAGGATCCTCAGCACTTGGGGCCGTACAGCTTGACTATAGTCTTATATAATAGTTGCGAATCAGTGAGTGGCAATAGTACATGATACTGTATACGCGGTATGCAAGTAAAGGAGCACGCAAACTTGACAAAGCCTTCAGAGCTGTGACGATAATGCATCCAAAGTATTGTTTTAAACTTGAAGTTTACCTCATAGATGAATGATGTGAAGTGACGCAGCACTTGTCTCGGCTTTGCTTCGCCAGATGCTTGATATTGAGATGGGGGGTCGGCAACTTTCGTTTCAGAATCTGAGAATGTCCAGACAATGAAATATTTTGCAGGTTTATGAGTTTAGGGCAGTCTCCAACTGGGTGTGACAAGAAGCATTGTTCACTGTTCCAAATGAACGTTGGGATTGTTGTCTAGCTGAATGCGCTGATGTTTGATGACTTCACAAAGGCAACCGAGGGGAGGGAATCATGCGGCCTGGGAATCACATTCAATATATACATGATACACAGACATTCACATTCACATGTTTGATCACTTACTTCTCTACATATCTTGGAGACCCTTTTCATCCTCCGGCCGTGTGAGCTGGTGTGTGCCCTCCCAGGCCATAACCCCCTGGAAGAAGAAAAATAGACCACAACATACCACAACCCATTGGGCCAGGAAAGTTCCCTCTTAAAATATACACCCACATGCATCCCCCGAACTGTGCGAGTGCTCAAACCACCTGCGACGGAGCAGAATCGTTTTAAAGGATGATCTTGCAGATTGCGGGCGGATTTGGCAGGCCGGTGTACCCGGTACCACTTGGATGAGTGCACCAAGCGTTTCCAGACGCGCGAAGCACCGCGACGTGCGTTTCGCATCGTGCGAAGGATGCCGCCGAAGAAGATGGAACAAAAAGTCTTTCAAACACCAAGGGGTGTCCCTACAGAGTTGATCATACAACAACACTACGAACATGAGCTTTGAAAAGGACCAGACTGGAGCTGGTCCACCTGTCGGTTCTCTTTGGTTTTGCCCCTTTGGATCCACCGGCCACGTGGTCTGGCCCAGCGGCGCCAAGCCACCAGTCTTGGCGATCCATGCGAAGCCTGCCGGGCGACGGAGAACGGAGGGGTCGCCGCGAAGGAGATGGGAGATCCGTGATCTGACATTGTTGAACTTCGTCCAACTCAAATACCCAGCAATACCTATGTGCGGGGTAGATTGTCACTGGATGGAACTGGCATTATTGTACGCTTGCTGTGTGTAATGATGAGCATATATATATATACATACATTAATATATGTATATATATATATATGTGCGATGGGAGTATGAATGCTCCAAGTATTCGGCGGAGCATACCCTATCTCAACTGGGGAGGATGCCTTCTGACATACCTGACCCTCAATTTGGGCGTGTTAATGAGCTGGCCATCATGGGAGCTACATCCGCAAGCTGGTACTTCATGGCGACTTTGTGTAGCTACTGCTAATGCTGCTCGGAGAGCAATGTTTCTCTGAGCTTGCTGCCCGTGGGCTGGGAGCTCGTCTTGGAGGCAAGATTTTCTCTTGCTTTCTTCCCCTCGAGTGAAAAGAATATTGTATATCCCACGGGCTGAACCCAATGTTAGAACACCAAGCGGTCTCATGTAGCCTCCTTTGTCTGGATAGTGCACAAGGTTCTGCTGGTAGAAGGCGCACAAGGCTATCATTGCATCTCTGGACAACATCTCCATAGACAGATTGGCTCTGAAGACTGAGCACAGAAACTGAACCTGGTAGGCTCTGCCTGAGAAGTCTGCCATGAGATGAAACCCAGTCCCAAAAGATATGGATATTTTCCCAGTCCCAACCACTTGCTCTGGTTGGAGAATCTCATCGCTTCGCCCAGCACGCTCGTTCGTACACGACGCAACGAACTCGTGCAACGACTTCTCTCAGGGACTGCGGTGCGGTCGGCGAGGCGGACCGAACCACACAAAGGGATGTATTCCCTGGAGTCTCCAGTCGACTACATGAATGGTCTGACGAACGGTGACCCGAGTTCAGGAACTCCCTGACACCGTCGAACTGGACTTCTAGGGCATGATGATTTCGCACAGAGAAGAAGCAAAGCAACGCTTTGAAGAATCTAGAAACAATGTGTTACACCTCTTGGATGTACTGCTCCATGTCCGAGGTCTGAATTTTCAAGGCAAAACACCCAAACCAAGGGGGGCGGCCAAAGCAGTATGGCTAGGGCCTGAGCAAAAGGTGTGGTAGCAAAGCGGAAACGACAAAAGATGATTGATTAAACACACCAACCTTCACCTTTGTAGATTCTGGCGGCGAGGGGTGTCCTCCTCGTCACCTGCCATCATCAGAGCGAAGAATGCCAAATAGAAGGACAACTGAAAGTGCATGCAAACAAATGTGCGCCTCTCTATTCCCTTATCTGGCTGTTGCTGCTTTCAAAGTCTCTTGCCCTCCTTAGAGAGCCTTGGCAAAGACTAGATCTAGCCTGTCACGAACTGTCACGTTGTCTACCTTCATCTTCTGGGAGTAGGGTGGTAGTGGACCTTTTAAAAGCTTGTTCACATTGACAAAGATCATGCATCACCATAGACTTTGCCTTTGACATTGGATCTACATTGATGACGCCAATGAGGGTCGGTCCTGTCTCGGATTCATGATCAACGCAAAGCGTTTTTGCCATGCCCACATCCTCCGTGTATGACATAAACATCGCTTGCATTTAAGGTCATAGATGAGGTATATATATAGTAATATTGCTATGTCACCATTGCATACATGGATGGTCCGGCTGCTGCGGCACCCACTTCGCCAGTCACGTGGTCCGGTTCCAGCCTTCCCGCCGAGCAGTGTCCCCACTAAAAGGTCGGACAAAGACATGTGCCGTGTGCCCAAAGAAGATTGACGCAACTGGAGAGTACACCCAAGTCTATCCCAGACACTCCATGTATGCCATATATATGCCTACATTGGAGTGGTTTTGGGGGTCAATAATATCGAACGCAAGTTCGAGGCCATCACCAAACCCTCTGTTCTTCCCCACTCGACCCTTATTCTTTCAAGAACATCTGGTCCGACAAGAGACATATATGTCAAGCGGTCGGATTCTTTCGCCGAACGCCGCCTGGGGGGGAGCTGCCACAGGAAACCTGCAGCACCGCCCAAGGCTAAGGCCTCGATGGCGATGTCTCAACGACCAGGCGACGGTCGTCGCCAGTGCAGATGTCTCAACAACCCCTTCTTAGAGTAGATCCCCACTTGGAGAGTTTTCAAGAGGATCCATAACCAAAGGTCTTGAGGTGATCCACTCTGTAATGAGAGGTGACATCAAAAAGATCTTCCTAAGAGTCCAAGTGGATCACCAAACAGTTTCTTCCAACGATCGTCTTGGGAGTTTGAGGGATCCACCATCTAACCATTGACCTGTGCGTGCTGGTCAAAGAGAACTGATCCTTGCCTTTCACTCCATGCACCCCACTTGAAGACATAGAAAAAACCGTCTCAAACCACCCTATGGTTTGCTGGAGGTCCATGATGGTCGGTCCCCTCGTTCCGGGACCACCGGTGCCGACTCGGTTCCCCCCACGCAGACCGCGTTCTCCCGGCGGAGCATGACGATGGCAGCGGTGATCCGGGGCCTCGGCCACTTGCGCCGAAGGGGCGGCGACGGCGCAGGCGCCAGCGGACTCCGAACTATTGCAGGATCATTGCATTATTGGAACAACTTAAAGGTGAAGGAGAACTCTATAGCTAAGTGATTCCGGTGATTGTAAATGACTTCCTGCGAAGTCCGAGAGCTGAGTGTCTTCCACTTGCGACGTTCGTCCGGCGGTTCTTGGCACCCGCTGCATGAAGACAGCTCTCACGTCGTGCTAGTTGGGCGGTTTGGCACATGTGGGCACCGTTGACTCAGTTCCTCTTCCTTGGACCAGCCACCAGTTGGTGGATCTGGCAGGTTGGACCACTCAACCAGAATGCTATGGCATGGCATGGCATGGTATGGGCCAGGCATGGGACCGGGTGCTCTGTTTGGTCCAGAGAATGAGCTATTGCTCGCCATGCAAAGAACGGCCTCCCATATTCTGTCTTTTGTTTTGGACCCCCCTTCTCTTTTGATCCAGCGCCCTTCTCGACCACCAACCCCAATTCCCACCCGGGGTCACCGGCGGAGGAGCCAAGGTTTCCACGAAGTGCAGGAAGTCTTTGCCTCGACCCACACCGTCTCGGAGGACACCCCGAGTGAAGCGATGTTCCCATTCGGATGGGGTCGTGAGTCGTAAACCAGGAGCCCCTGGTCCACCGCGTAGCCCTAGTCATTCCACATCTTCCAGGAAGGTCAAACAAAGACTCCCAGCCAGGAGTCACAAAGGGGTGCCGAACTTGGAGGATAGGGGTGCCCATGATCCACTCACTTAGGAACTAAAAGCCACCCAACTCCATGTGACCCCTAAAAATCTTCACTCAAGAGTCGGCCGGGCTCAAACAGAGTTCCGCAAGTCTCGTTGCTTCGGTCGTGCCCGGTCCGCCTGGGGGGCCCTTTGTGCCAGGTTCCATCGTTCGACGGCGTTGAGGGTGCAGTAGATGGCCCAAACATGGACTGCTCCTTGATACCCCACTGGCATCCACTTGCCAAGCAATAGCATTTTATAAAGGAATCCAGGTCTACAATACTCCAAAGAGCCCTCACTCAGCTTGACTGGGAGAATTCCATGCCACACATCCAGAAAGGAGCACTTCAGAACTTCTTCCTGTTGCCTTCGCGGGAGCTGAATTGCAACGGAGACCAGTCGTCCCCGCCGCTCTGAACCTCTTTGCGCAGTCGTCCCCGCCGTTCCAACACGAAGACCAGTCCAACGGACAGATCGTTCCTCCAACAACCTCCAACCGGTCAGTCCTCCTTCCGAAACTCACGGCGGATCCACCATTTCATCCACAAACATCATGCAAGCGCGCCCAGGGCATGATTGGCACTCCCACCATGTCAAACCCCCTCAAAGACATCTGTATACAGTCAAATCCCCCTTCTTTGGGCCCGAAACCACCCACCATGAACCTGGCGTTTGTCGACTGGTCCACTGGGCTCACAACGCGGCCGCCACCGGCGCGATCGCCCTCGCGCAGGCCGAGGGACGGGAGACGAGGAAGCCCACGGAGGCGGTGATGCCGCCGAGAAAGAGCAGGATCGCCAGGCCTCGGCGTCGGGCACCCATCGGGCGCAGCGGTGGGCGGCCGTAGTTCCTCTCCGGACGGTTGGCAGGATGGGAAGGCTTGGGCAGGTACCAGAACGAAGAAACATGGAGAAGTTTATATAATGTACAGTAGATGCTCATCACAACTTTCTACCTCAAGATCTTTTTGGTGTTGCTAGGTAGATCTTGACAAATGATGCATACCCACTGATCACCCTTGCTCTGTGAAGTACTATAAGAAATGTTACTTTATACTCTTTCACTCAAGGAAACAAAGCACGCTCCAGTTGCCCTCCTCAAGATTCATCTGTAGGGAGGTGGCCCAAACGCGCAGGGTAGCTGAACTTTTATGCAGTGGATGGCCTGAAATCGGATTCCATGAAGAATCCTGCCAAACATGGACTCTGTGTTGTCATATCGCAGTCTGGCCTCCTTAAAAGCTTTGAGCCACTTGCTTTGACCTAATATCGGATACTGCAACTTCTGCAACACATGGATAAACACCGCATCCCAAACTCAGAAAACTACTGGAAATCTAACAATTAGATAATATGAAGTACACCACTAGTTATAAACAACACCTGCCTTTTGAACTCCACCTGCCTTTTGACTCAACAGGGAGCGGAAACTTCCGGTTTACAAACACCGGAAGCCGGGCCGGAAGACTGTCTTGCCTTTTCGTTCATCCCAACGGTCCATGGCGGTCTTATCCACTCATCGCGTTCACACCGGAGACATCCAGAGAGAAGAGGATGGTGATGTCTTCTTGGGTTGGGAACAAAAACCTGGATCGCAACGAAGTGATGAAAACTTTGGAATTCATTCCGAACGAGCTCAACTGCTAAACCAGCTGCATGGATCAGTGGGAAGGATTCTCCATGTCTTTAAAGACCAAATCAAGGCACTAGGCACCCCGGCCCATCATGTGAGTGGCGCCTAGAACATGCAGCAGAACCTGGCAAACGGGCGTGACACAATGATTTTTTCCTGGAGTTTATCCTGCCCCAAATGTGTGAGAAAAACAACTAACATGCCCCATTCACCTCCCAGTCAACAGGCAGCCTGAACCTCTTGTGGCTCTTAAATTTCCTCTACTTGGAGTGACGCACGCTCGTGCAGCTGCATTTATGTACGTGTAGGTCACTGCAAAACAAACAACCCATCACGACATTGCGGCACTCAAACTCAAAGAACTTCTCAGAAAAAAACATCTGATCCGCGTTTGAAAGATCCAAGTACCCATGCCCCGCCCCGACAAATGTCACGAATGACTTCTTACTTCTGAAAGGACACCACTCAAGTACCTGTGTTCTCTTGGAATCACCACCGAAACCGCCATGGCCTCGCGCACACCGGCGGTGCCCAGGGAGTTCTCCGCGCTGCGAGGCAAACGTTCCGGTGGGCGCCTCCCGTTGCCGAAGCAGGGTGACCAGCTGCAGTTGGCACTCCAAGGCCTCCAACGACGCAGTCGCGAGAACACAGAGGGAACGGACACAACTGAGTAACTGCCATATGCATCTTCCAAGTGTGCAAGATTTCCGCGTTTTCATCTAAACAGCCAACCCAAAGGCAGACACTTTGGCATAGTTGGAAGATCCAGGTATGAGGTGGCTTGGTGACGCGCGTGGAAAGCCATGTAATGCCTGTTTGGACTCGCCTTAAAGGCATGTTTTGGGCTTTCTTACCTCTCCTATTTGCTCGGGATGAAGCGTGGCTTTGTGGGCCCACTATCTAGAATCACAGGACCAGCTGCCCACTGGAGGAGGCGTCGTCATTCTTTGCCTGCAAGGCGAGGATTTGCACCTTGACTTGGTGGTTCGATTCCACCCTGGTCCGTATTGTTGACTTTGATTTTTATGATTTGTTGAAAAACGGGTAGTGTTCTGACCAGCATGCTCTGCACATGTGATGGCGCGCAAACGAGCACATGTAGTGGTTTTGCCTGCTCTAATCTAATGCCTTGCAGTGGGTTGTTCAATCTTGGTTCATATGCGAGGCGTGATCTCCTGGCACGTACCCTGATTACCCTGATTAATGGAAGATGCATGCCAACAACCTCATCCTGGCAAGCTCAGGGTATCAATGGGCAGCCAGTTCTGATTGGACTTGTGAAGTCTGCACAACCTGTGGGGTCTCTCAAATTTGCCTAGACCGCCAATGCATCCAAATACTGCACCTGTAGAATCCTTCAACCAACACTTGCGACTGAAACTGAGCGATGCTCATGCCGAATCATGGACCCCTTGGGAAACATGTCGTATACATCGCAAGGTCCGCACTCAGCACATCGTTCAGCTATCTGACCTGGCCATCGAACGATGGCCTCAACCACGCCGCACCGGCTCGGCTCGGCAAAGGCGGATGTCCCGAAGCCGCGGAACCGCCACCTGCACCTGCAAGAGGCCCAAGAACCAATGCGCCGAGCCTTGGGAACGCGTGTGGAGGTCTGAAGCCAACGCGTGGAGAGCCGAAAGCAACGCGGAGAGGAAGCTGAGGGTGAAAGAAAAGGAGGTCCATGCGCTCTTGGCGGAGTGATCTGGGGACATAAAAATTTCAACCGATTTCAGCCACCTTCAGAATCCGGGCCCTCAAATACATAGGGTTTTGAGGGCCCAAACCCCTGCTGTGGAGGGCCCAAGGCTTCTTAGGGCAGGACTCTCTTTGGACATCCTGGGCCTTGAACCTAAGATCTACTTGGTGTTGCTCGAGTCCCAAAGGTACCAGGTCCACGCTCCGTCGAAGGCTTCGGGTGGACAAGGTGTCACAACACCGTGTTTTTCTTGACGAAAAAGGACCCGTGCTTCAGTGGATGATGATCGTTAGGTTGCAGGCCTTCTCTAAAATAGTGATCACTGTTTAGCTACTGATACAGGTCATAGAACAAACCCAACCTATAGTGATACATGTAAAAGATCGAGTTGATCGGCTTTTGAAGATTTGAGTAGTGACTGAATATGATGTCTCGCGTGAGAAAACGATCATTCATGACTCGACCTCCCATCTATCACCGTTGTTTTCCAGAAGGGTAGGTCCCCCGATAGGCTCTGATCCACCTTACAACCAGAGGCAAACGCACCACTTCTGCCCAAGCAACGGATTTAACAGGTCCGGGGCACCCGTCGTCCCGCTTGGGATTTCTGGCACAAAGGAGCTTGCCCCTCTCAACTGCCAAGTGGCGGTTCTGCTTTGGACGTTTGCCCCAAACGGTGTCTTCAGGATTTAGGCTGGTCTCTAAAAAGCGGCTTAAAGAAGATACCAAAAACCGCTGCAAAGAATATGATCCACCATGATTCACCTCAAACATTGAGCCAAGAGTCCTGAAAAGAAGTGGTCTTATCCTGTTCTGACCTCGTTTCGAGTCTCAGTCTATGTTGAGCCGTGAGGGCGTATTGGATGGCCCCCCTCCCTTGTCCAGGACCGGGCAGACTCAGCGATGGTCATGCTCTTGAGACTCCTCTTCCGACCGCCGAAGCGGGAGCCTCCTGGGGAAAAAAAAGGGTCTAATACACTTCCCTGCAACAAACGTGGACAACCCCCCTCTTGGTGAAGATAAGTATATAGTCTTATAGAGTCTTTTGAGGTTCCATGTTCCACTTCCGTGATCTTACATGATGGTTGGAGGGTAAGCTTCTACATCAAGATCCCACGACTCAGCTCCGGCTTCAGTGGACGGGCTTCAGTGCGGGTGACCGAATCGCCTGCTTCGGAGCCATCATCAAATTACTTTGATTGCTTGACTGTGGAGGCAAGTACAAAACTGAAGAACCGTCATTGTAGTAAGCTGAAGCCGCACTTCAAGTAGCATCGTCCAAATACACATTGGATGTATCCTTGTTCTGGCTACCTAAAGATCAAACATATGAGATCAAATTAGATGATGTATAAAATAAAATGGTTCTTGCATCACCTGATTTTGTAAAGATCTGGATACCACTCTCATCCCGCACAGTCCCGCCCCGGGCGCGATACCAGTGCCGGTCGGTCTGACCGTCCGGGTGCCCCGGGCGCAAGGTACCGAAGACCGCCCAGCCATGGTAGGCCAACGCATCAGTGCCCAAGAGGTCCCAGCTGCCTGGGTGGGAAGATGAGGCCGAGGAGACCCCATGGTTTTGAACGTGAATAGCATGGTTTTTTTCCAATTGCTATAGACATATTCCTTTCATTCCATTCTTTGCATGCATGACATCCATTTGGACTTCATACCTTTCAGAGGTCTGTCACCCTAAGCTATGCAGAACACATCAGCATCTTTTAGCTAAGGACAAGTTCTGGTGAATCAAAACCAATCGCTTTCGTGTTGAAGATCTTCTTATTTCGCGTTTGGTGCTCCTCCAAAAGCTGGGTTGGTGCTTTCAAAAACGGTAGACCCTCCAGAAACTCTACATGGCGAAAGGAGGTGCAACAACAAGATCCAGTGATCCAAACCTCCCAACAATCCTTAGCCACATAGATCTGGGGAATCTTTGCGCTCCACAACCGCAAAACATCGGACCTTTGTTGGCTGACCCTCACAACTTTCACCACCGGAACAATGCTCCAGTTTCGGAAAAAACATGAATCCTGCTTGATTCTGAAGACTCGTTTGATTCATTGATTGGAAAAGTCCTGCGCTTTCCTACGGACTGACGGGTATTCAAGTAACCTGTCTTTTCCTCAAAACAGAAGCTAAGGTTGGTTGTCTTGACACGATAAAGTTCATAAAACTACATCTTGAACGGGTCAGGGACCTTCTCACCTGGAAGATCAGGGTAGTGGATTTTGTGCTCACTCAAAGCCAACCAGGCAGAGTGCCTCCATTCCCTCGGGCGCATAAGAATCTCTCAGGTACTCCTCCAGAACTGCTCGATTGAGCTCTGTTGGAAATCCATCAGTGGCAGCACTATAATCCCCTGAACACCACTCATCAAATAAAGGATCATTTGGGGCTCGGCCTGATGATTTCTCAAGCCGCCTCCTTTCGTCTTCAAGATCATACAAAAAAACAAAGTCCTGCGCCTGCCACGAAATCGGCACTTCAAGATTCACATGCGGCAGCTCTGTGAAAGCGCTTCGCCGCAAGAATGCTTCCAAAGACAACATCCAGATACCAAAACGCAGCTTTCGCGCGAGACTTCCCCCGATGTCTGAAAACGAACCACATGTGGAAAAGTCACGATTCACTGCACCTGTCACGAAATTAGAGCGTGTCAGATCGCCACCATATCCAGGCAATGAAGTCCCCAGGGGTAGCCTAGCATAGGCCCTATCACAGGGCGATTCTTAGGGTATCACAGGGGGGGGTGCTGGGGCTAGCCCAGGCCCTAATAGGGAGGTTTTAGGGGTAGGCTAGGCCCGACCCTAGCGTGACTGGGCTAGCCCTAGCAGCCCCCCTATCGTAGGGCCTCGGTTAGCACTGGGACCCCCCTATCCTTGAGTGTGGACTTGTGTGGTTCGGTTACCGCTCGTCACGGACGATTCGGAGCATGTTGACGCAGGACAAAATTAAAAGACATAGCACAAAGTCTTTGGGATTTCCCAGACGGTTGGAATGGTTGACCATAGGATTTCATAACAGTTTCATTGCTTCTCCTGGAACAAGAGAGTAAGGTCTTACCACGGTTGGTCTAGAGTCTAGCATATACAGCAAGCTGGAGAGACAGGCTCATAGACATCGAAGAGATGGTCCCAAAGAATAATTGCATACAAACTCGGCGGTTTATGGCTTCCATTCTCCCCTTGTCTCCTGTGGAGAAACCCCAACGTGCGGCAAACGGGCGCCGTGCGGTTTGCGGGGCGCAAGACATTGGAAGTCCTCGTGATCTCAGGAAGATGCTACAGAACAACCAGAGCGGTTTGGAGATGTTTGGCGTTGGAGGTCATTCCTACTAGGTTCGCGGCCATCGCTACTATCCTGTCTCTCCTTCAGCCATCATAGTTCAATGGGGCCGCTGCGGCGGTCCATACAAAGAAGGCCCGGTCACTTTCAGGGAGGGCAGAGCTTCAGCATCTTCTGACGGACACCCCTCAACCAGGACTTGAATATGCCAGGATTTTGGTATGCATGAGCTTCTTCAACCTCTGTGCCTGGCAGGTACAGCGGTTTGTGAGCCTCGAAGTGCAGATTTCGTGGCAGGTACAGCACTTTGTGAACCTCGAAGCAGATTTCGTGGCAGGGAAAGCACTTTGTAAACCTCAAAGTGCAGATTTCGTGGCAGGCGCAGCACTTTGTGAACCTCGATGTGGAGATTTTGTGGCAGGTTATCTCTTTCCTTCCTCCAGCTAGCAGTACAGTACTTGCCTCCAGGTTGTCTTCGACGTCTTCGATTGCCAATATCCACTCTGTCTCTGTGGACCCTTGTTCATTGCGACTAACGTTCACTCAGATGCGCACCTCTCGCTCTCGCTCTCACTCACACTCACACACGCTCACACTCTCACTCACGCTCACTCACACTCACTCTCACTAACTCTCACTATCTCTCACTCACACTCACATTCACACTCACTCACTCTCTCACCCTCACACTCACTCACACTCTCACTCACTCTCACTCACACCCACTCCCCACTCTCGCTCACTCGCTCCCTCGCTCGCTCACTCCCTCACTCACTTTCACACACACACACACACACACTCCCTCTCACACTCACTCTCACACTCACACTCTCACTCACATGCACAAACACTCACACTCACACTGGCACTGACACTCGACACCACCGCCACCATCCCTTCATCGCCACCATCACCTCTCTGGGCCCCAATGCGTCTAGATCTCTAGACTTTGTGTTTATAGACCTCACACACACACACTGTTTGGGGTCTCTTGCCGGGATAATTTTCTGGGTGGCGTGGATGATACAAACCAATCTTAAACATTCTTTGAGGGAACAATCAAACATGTCTTCACCAGGCGAGTGCCACCCAACTTTGGTCTCAACCCCTTCTGACACCCGAGTTTCCCGACCCATTGCCAGCAAAAGCCCCAGCAGTGCTCGTTGAAGCTGTGCGACATGCTCCAGTGCCAGTGGTGCCGCGGTGGCCTGGCCAGTTACGTCAAAGAGAAAGAAGCCAGTTCAGGCGTGGCGGGTTCAGGCGTGGTGAAACTTGTTGCTGCGCTGCTTGTGTTTAGATGAGTAATGGCCCAAGATTAAACGCTATAAGAACCCGTAGAACGCTTCGGCTGAAATCATGGGCAAGGCGGGCCAGGGGAGATGAAGCTTGATCAGGAATTCGTTCCCTCCACTCCAATAGTGGGGCCTAAATGAAGGCAGAACCAAGCCAAATGAAGAAGTGATAAAACAAATCACAGAACAAATCCAAAAGTATAGCCAAACTAACGAATAGCCGCGGTCGCAGGTACTCAAAACTCTTCTTGTAAAAACCCACTTCTCCTACTGGTTTACCTCGCGGGGTGGGGATAACATTGCGTATTTGTCCTGCTTTCGTGTTTGCGCTGGTATCGTCAACCATTACATGTCCGTGTCATGTCTGTTGTTGTGTTTATCATTGCACTGGGTCCTGTGACGCAAACACAGAGGTCACGATAGGATTGGTTGTCGAAACAAGATGGAACCGAACCTGAAAGTTCCGGTGAAACTGTGCGACATTTGGCGAACACCAAGCAGTGTTGCTCTCTTAAGACAGCATGTGACGCATGTGTGTATAGATTTAAAACTATATCAGAATCCCACGCAACCAGGGAGAACATGCAAAGAAACACCTGAGGTGAAATCGTGGCAAGAAGGTCTGGAAACTAAGCTGCCGGAGCTTCAAAACAAAAGTTGGAAACGGGACAAAGAGCTATTAGAGCTCAATCACCAAGTGCTGCGCAGTAGGCGCCCACGGCGCGTGTGGGTGCGCTCGCCAAAAATCCGACTTGCGTGTAAGACACAAGGGTTAACGCTGGCGAGGCACTCCTCTAGATTTTGGTGTTGACCAGTGAACCAGCTACATTGATCCACATGGCTTTAGTCGGTTAAGCGCCAAAGGCAGCGATGCAAACCCTACGTTCTCTCCACCATGTGGTAGGTCCGCCCAGTAAGAAATTCAGTCTACCCAAGAAACTTGTCAAAACATGGGGAATCGGAATATGGATATTCCCACCTCCGAATCGTTCCCTCCTGAGCACTACTGTAGTTAAGACGTGTCCTCCACTGGGTCCTCCACGTCTGCTCTTCCCAATCATCGCACCTGCATCCTCTGCCACAGCGGAAGCCACGTCCAAACTGCACAACTTGCTGTGCGCGACGCTCAAACATCAACAGCGAATCCCAATCCCAGAGCCACATGAAAACCAAATGTGACCCCTCTGTCAAATCTAGGTGTTCAGAGAATCAGAACAGTCACATGGCTTTTGGCAAGCCACCAAATATTGACGACCATTTGGTTCTGACAAGACTAGTGACTAGAGAGAGTTCAGTTGAAATGTTATCACGCATATGCCCTCTCTCCAACAATCATGGAAACTGGCCTCTGGAAAGACCATTCTCCGCTACAAACAGGGGTTTTCCACCTCCACGTTTGTTGCAGGGAGGGTATAAGCAAAGATTCTCAAGGGCCCACAAGCAATCAGCAATCATTTTGTTGACATCCAGGGTTTACAACTTGTTAGTTGAACCAGCTAACTCTTGGGACTCTTCAAGATCGTCGATTTGTGCTTGGGGAGTGCTACTTTTGTTCAATTGTGGAGCTGCGTGGCGATCAGACCAAAGCATTTCAATCGACTTGTCGATCAGACGTCATCCTTTGCCGGAGAATCGATGGCAGTTCGATGGACTTGCAGGTGGTGCGCAGAATTCCGTCTATCGGCCCTCTAAATAGACTCTCGAAATCACCCCCGCATAGTTTCCAAGAGGTTTTTCAATGGGGGGTGTAGTAATCAAGAGTCTACATTGACACCTGACCCGGGTTCCTAACAATTCTCCCGGGTGAGGCCTCCAACGACCAAATTTGAAAACATAGTGAGGACTGGAGAGTGTTCGAGGAAGGCTGTGGGTCATGGCACTGGGCGACCCGGGTTGACCGACCCGAAAATGAAATAGATCGCAGGCCAGGTCCACCTAGCAGGGTTTGGGGGTTTTGACCTATGCCGAGTTCATGTCCATCAACAGTCTCCGAATTACAACCATGGCAGCCAGCGTTGACCGACAATTAGGGCCGGTACACAGCAGGTGATGGAGCACCGAAACAATAAGATCGCATAGTTTGCGAACAGCTTTCAATACAAGACTGAATGCCTGCCGAATGAACGCCAAGGAGCAGCTTTCTGACATGGTGCTTAGTAGGGGATGAGGGAATGAGCCCCCACAAGAGATACCTTTAGGATTCATTGCCTCATTCTTGACTAAGCATGAACATAGCACGAACTAGTTTTATGGTATAAACCAAACCTTGCAGTGATTGTTTCCCCAAAAAACCTTTCCAGGGCATCCGGGAACGACCGTCGGCATCCGCGAAGAACCTTACTTGGAGCAGGTCGCCTCCCAGAAGCAAGAAGAGGAGGTAGGAGTGGTCCGTCGTTGCGGGCCTCGTTTCGGTCGTTTTTTTTTCCTTTTTTTTTTTTTCGCGTTTGCGTCGGAGGGTCCAAGGGTTTGGAATCGGCTGGTGAAGGCTACCTGACACCTTCCATGAGTGTAGCATGGGTGGTTTCAAGATTGGGGTACATATTGGCGCGATCAGGCAGGTTGACTCACTCTTGAGATCTTCCATGATCTTCTTCTGTCAAACTGCGTGGATCTCTAAGATTCACAAGCCTTCTGCACATCTCCTGGCAGCATGGCAAAAACCGCTGCCACAAACATACCCTAGGGGTCCAAGTACCTTCACAGAAGGTGATATTATAGCCATAGCGGCCATAGCCATCCAACACCGAACGGTGAAGGGGTCCGGCCGTCACGTCGGAATCGACCCGTTGGCTGGTGTCCCTGATCCGCTCGACTGGTTGGCGCCTTCGGTTGGTCGCTTGGTAGGTTGCTTCCCCTCCTCTTCGAGGGTCTTCTGTATAGTGTTCTTCACTTCGGGCGGAATCCCAGAGCGGTGAATCAATAGCCAACCATATATAAGTAAGACCCAATTCTCGCACACCCACATAAAGGTATACATGGATGGGTATATTAATGAGTGGATGGGTACCAATGTGGGTACGTACATGGCTTCAGGGATCACTATGAGCCTGAATCAGTGCCAAGAAACATCAAGAAACACTTTTCTTTCCACAGTTGTGGGTCTCACTGCAAATTGGTTTGCAACAACCTCCACAACTTAGAGTACTTGTCGAGTTGCAGTTGCCCAACCTATCCCTGTCGAACATAGAGGTGCAATCTTTTCCCAGTATAGTTTCTCCAACCCCAAGATTGAAGATATACTATAGATTGAAGATATACTATAGTATAGATTTCTTAACGTTTGAATGCAACATCAACGTTTAAGATTCAATTTAAGGGTAATTCTTGGCTAGGCGCAGAGTCCGATCCCACCTCGCCTCACTGACTGACTGCTTAGCCCAAGTGGCCGAACCAAGCCCTCCACGACCAAGCGGGTGGCGGAGAAGGCTGCAAACAGCCTCAGGGCGGATTGGATCTGATTCCGACAGTGACTGGAACAGCCTCAGGGCGAATTGTTTTGTCCTCCACTTCCGGTGGGTTCCGGTGCTGTGAAGTTCACAAGTGTTGATAGAAAGTTCAGTCCTCCTGATCAGAAACACATCTTGTCAGGTCAAGTTCATTCGGGTTGGTTGTAACCATTATATAAGTCTTGTAAACTCTATGCGCCGGCAAGTCCAAATCAGTCTTGAAACCGACATTGGATCTATGTATTTGCACCTGCCAGTGCCATCAATTGGGAATGAGGGCATGCTCTGCAACTTGGGATCCCCTGACACACCCGACGTTCTGCTTCCACAAATGACTCTCCTCACCCGAAACGGTTTCAGGCGAGTGTACCATTTGAGTAAAGAGACTCAACCGTTTCATCACTGGACTCTCGACTACTACGTTCCTATTGGCAATACCTTTACTGAACATGATACATCTGTCGCATTGGTTTCTTTTAGTCCAGTTCGTGCATGTCATGCACGTACCACGCACGTACAATCTTGTTTGACGGCAGTCTCCCTGTCTCACTTCCCAAACCGTGGTTTCAGACAAGGCTTTGCCCCCAAAAAAGGTCTGAGAGAGGTATTTCAACCACTTCTGTAGAATCACCCTGAAAGACCCAAGATGTATGACACTTCTTTGGTGACTATAGATTTTAAGCTAATGAGAGAGATCCATGTCACCTGCATCAACCAGCACTGTGCTGCTCCACCAGCCATCTCGCCGCTTTCGCCGCCTCCTCGCCGCCGCGGTGTGTTGAGACAGAGCTCTCTTCCCCCACCAGGCTCCCGGGCGGCAAGGCCGCGTGCACGAGCAGCACCACGCTGGAGACCCACTGTGGCCGCTCCAAGGCGACGTCCAGGAGCTCCCAGCGCCTTCTCCAGTGGTCAGGTGGGGGGTGGCAAGGGGCCAACAGCGAGACATCTTCGGGTTTTGCATGAGAAGAATGATCAGACCCTGCTGAAGTCCACAATGGATATTGAACTCTAGCTTGGTGGGGTTGAAACAGGAATTGAAGTCTATAGCTTCTTGGCAGTTCTCCGCCTTTTGTGTGGCAGCACATTCAATGCAGATCAGGATCTGCAGGATCTACTAGCTATACCCAACAGGGGTTTATTGGCGGGTGTAGGATCTCTTGCCCATGAACAGAAGGAACGAACAACACCATTGAGGCCGACATGGTCTTGCTTAAGCATGGCATGAACGTGCCACCCTTCGCCAAGATTCAAGTTCCGCTGCTAAAGAGATTGTTGAAGGAAAACACATGCACATCATCAAAACATCAAATGACATGTCATAAAACATCACTCTCGCGTGCGTCCATGAGAGTTGCAGGTGTCGTGGGAGAAGTAAGTTCAAAGTCGGAGTGGGCTCTTTGCCACTCCCTCAACACTCCCAAAGCTCGACGTTCAACGAAACTGCCTCACCAGTATGATGACTCCACAGTCTACAGCGTCCCTGATTCTGTGTCTTAGTCTTTACCTCAGCCCTCCAAAGTATTCTGAAAACTGGGATGTGACCCGAACAAGCAACCAGCAGGTAGACGATACATGTACCAACACCCAACTCTTTCGAAAAGGGGGTACACTCTGACTCGCTCACATGACTCGGTTCTCCCCTGCAAACAACAACCGCCTTCTGGAGCGAAGCCATGTCTGTTTTTCTTCCATGGCCAATCTTTTGGACTCTCCGACCCTCCGTTGTGTCCCCAACCTTGTTTGCTTCGCCCCGACCCTCTGTAGTACGCCCACCCCCGTACGCCCTACCCCCCTTCGGGGTGAGACAGAGAGACCCCTGTCTGCGCGATCGGCTTTCCGTCCACTCCAGGGCGCCAAAGAGTCAGCAGGGTGACGCCCAGCAGGAGCACCGTGGCGCCCACGCGTGGGCAAAGGCGCCAAATCTGAGACACCTCGGTCTGTTGGGCTGGGGAAGACTGGGTGGAGCCCGACTTGGTCAGTGTTGTCTGGAGAGAAAACGTTTTGTCCTTCAGGCTGGAGGGCTTGTTGGTAGTAGGATGTAGCAGGTCATTGGATGGTTCTCATCTTGCAAGAAAGATTGAACAACCACTCCAAACATGGTAAATCGCCTGACCAGCAGTGGGTTTGCAGGTCTCGACCAAACAAGAATGAGAGTCCACCCAAATGCCTGGATTCCAAGATTCGAAGCCTTTCTGATGGAAGTGGAGTCTTTGCTTCTGTTGTTCCAGTGGTCCAATGGGTCTTGAGTCGAAGCTAATGGATTAGGGGAGCGAATGGATCAGGGGTTCAACCAAGACGGTCCAACGGTCCAACTGAACCTAGTTCTCTGCTTGTCCACAAGGCTTTGACTCTGGACAAGCAACTCTTTTTTTCTCTCGAACAAGGTAGCAAAGGCATTGAAAATTATTTCGACATCTCCCCTCTCTTTTTGGTTTTGCCAGTGACGTTGCATTGGGCAAACCCTCATGTACCTGACAAATGCTTGCTGCTTACTCTATGCTTCTTCTGGCACGCGACAACTACAGACTCCGTTGTAGTCGGTCTGGAGCACGGTCTCTTTTGGGCAGGGTTTGCTGCCGTGGGGGGTGCATTTTTGAGCTCTGTACTCCATCTTCTCCCACCTTCGTTCTGTTCTCCAAATGCCGCACCGTCCCAAACCGTCTCAACACCCCCCCAGCGCGAGCGGCCAAGGTGACCAGCAGCGGCGCCGCGGCGCCCAGCGCCAGGAGGAGCAGAAGCACCTGGAGCGCCGGTGGAAGTTCGACTGGTACTGTCTGTGTCTCAAGGATTTGGTGAATGCATTGCTTCAGGAACAGCCTAGGCTAGGCTCGGACATCACCATTACTGGTGTGTGGCGTGTGGTGGTGAGTGGGAGGAGTTGGTTTCGGCCTCTTCTACCCCCAAATAGGCTCGTGTTCGATGCGAGTTGAAAAGCCAACTCGACTCCTGCAGAAGGATGACTTCTGTGGGTTCATTGGCTCATAGACTGGGGGATCCTCCTTACCTTAACCCTTGCCCTGTGATTTCTGCAACAAAAAATAGGGCCATAAAATGGAAACACAAGCAATCAGAGGGGCTTGCAAAAATGACTCTCACTTTTTTTTTGACTCTCAGTTTTCTTGTTTCTGACGCTAATGATATTGATACTAAAGAAGAGGGGGAGGAAAAAAATGAAGATGCTCTCAATTGTCCTATTCACCTTTGATTTGGATGCTAAAGCAGAAGGGGAGGAAGAAGAAGA